AAGGTACTCCTAGAAAAAGGAAAGTGTCTTTACCTCCATCTTAATTTGGTTGAGCATGAATAAAAGGAGTAATGAAGAGGTGGTTACTTTATTATTATTATTATTATTATTATTATTTTTTGACAACATGGTTCATTATTTTGTATCAATCAATCCATGATAGCAGGTTTCTCTTTCTTTTTGCCCACTAAGCTGAAGGTTAAGGCTTGTGGGAAGCCTTTCAGATTCGTAGCCTTTCATGGTGTTAGAGAGAGAGTAAAACTGTTGGTGTTAGAGGGTAAATGCTTAAGGGTATTTTCGTCTAAAACATAACCACTTAAACAACCATAAGTTAAAATACCCTCATGATAGTTGAAAGTGATTTTTTGCTTAGATAATTCGATCATAAGAGGTTTTTTTTGCTAACATATGGCTGGTTTAGTTTTAATTTAGTAAAATTGAAATAATTACAAAATCAATCAATAGAGCAAAACTACACCTATTCACTCATCTAAGTCTTTCGGCTGAGATCAAATCTTTCTTACCATTTTTACGAACATTTTTAGTGAGAAAAAGAGTAAACTATATTGACTTGATGCAAAGATCAATTTTATTTGTAATTTTTTTTTTTATGGGTGTTTTTATTTGTGCCTGGACAGTCAATTGATTCAGTAGAGGTGACAATTCGTATTAACGTGTTGTGTTCGTGTTGACTCGATTATGACACGAACATAATTAGGGTCAACACGAATACGATACGACACGATTATTAATCGTATCGAAGACTCTTGATACGAACACGAATACGACACAACTATTGTACGTGTAACATGACATGCGTAACCTGTTTAATAAATGAGTAAGACTTGACAGGTCACGAAAAGACATGTTTAAGTAATTTTTGACACGAACACGATATGTTTATTTTACACGTTTAGCTAAATGGATATTTTTTACACGAACATAATACGTTTAATTATTTAATACGTTTAGTTAATCGGATTAATCGTCTTATAATCATGTTTATAGAGTCAAATACAAACACGACACGTTTAGTTAGCGGGTAAATCCGAGTCGACACGGTTACGACACGATTACGATTAACCTAAACCTAAACTCTCTTTTTTTCTTACATTACATGTATACCCTTTAAAAACCAAAAACATAAGTTTGGTTGGTAGGAGAAGTTATTGCAACCAAATAATTGAGGAAGGGTCAGATGTACTGCTGAAATCTGTCCAGGGTGGTTCGCAGTTCGATCATATTGGTCAGTACAAGATATATAATTGTATTAACTCAAAGTTGGTTTCAGCTTTAAGCTTCATGGCATTCAAAGATAAGCTATTTATTTCATCCTAGTGTACAGCAGTGTGTGTGTATATATATATATATATAAACACCAAAGGAAATTAAACTCAGATAAAGTACTCCACTCTCAACCAACCTGATTTTTCACTTATATATGTATGTGCAGAGGCTGTAAAGAACCTGGTCCAATTGTACAACAGTGTGTATATATATATATATATAAACACCAAAGGAAATTAAACTCAGATAAAGTACTCCGATCCACTCTCAACCAACCTGATATTTTTCACTTATATATGTATGTGCAGAGGCTGTAAAGAACTAGGTCATTTTTTACACACCCTAATAACTCTTGGTATGCCACACAAAATTTGCTAGGAAATTTCAAGAGCTGATTTTTAATTGTGAATTATTGTATTTTTTTATTTAAAAAAATATATATTTAAGTCTTTCATTCACTTAAAATTTTAATTGAAATTTATTTTTTTAAATGGTACTTGGATTGTATTATCAAAGACACTTAATTGAATAAATACATACTTTATTTAGATTTTAAGTGTTGAATTGAGTTATCAAAAACACTTTAGACTCGAATCATAAGTAATATGATTATGTGCCGTTTTACCCTCTTCCGTTTCCTCCAACCTAAGAAAAATATAGAGTGTATTTAGTGTTACAAATAAATGTTAAATTTATATATATATATATATTTTTAAGTAAATAGTTTTGAAGGTAATCAATGTATATTAAAATGTGTAAAGAAAGGCATGGGATGACGTTATTGATATAATTAATTAAAACAACATGCTTGAGCTAAATTTATAGAACATGCATGAGCTGATTTTATAAAACAATCGGAGCTAGCATGAGCTAATTTTATAAAACAGTTATTAGATCATTCATTAAAATAAACAAGTGTATATAAAATGTGTGTGATCCAATTGTGCATAATTAAATGGATATCTGTAAAATAAGAAAGGACACAATAAAAATGATGAATTTAGTAAAATCTTTGGAAATACTTAAATCCCATCAACAATAAAATAAAAGAATTGAGTATGCAGTTTAGTGACATGCAAATAATATAAATAAATATATATTATGATTAAAGTAAGAAAAATCAATTAAAATTAACATTCATGTGTTGAGATTATGACAGCATTTAGTTTAACAGACCTTGCAGGAATAGTAATTAAATATAACAAAATAAGATTGATGTTGTCAACTCCAATTGCCACTATTAGAACAATATGTTTTTTAATTCTTTCATCTTTTAGCAGAAACATTCAATAGAATAAATTACTGGTGACTATCTTGAATTAGAAACTGAGTTAATTGGTGGTTAGCAAACATGATGATATTGGTATTAAATTAATTCAAGGCCCACAATTTGGTTGATCTAACCCTTCAATTCCCTTATACTGTCCCTTTATATACACACACACACACACACACACACATATATATATATATATCTGTGCAGTCAATTTCAAGTTTCTTTTACATTACACAAAAGAGGATAGGAATCTATTGAGGATGAAGAAAACCTGAAGTAATGTAAGGCCTAGAAGAGTATGTAACCTCCACCATGGGTCCCAAATATGAACATTTCTATCTACTTGTGATTGAACTCACCTCCTCAAATTCTCATGATCATTAGCCAAATTTGAATTGGAGGACCCTAGCAGTACCTGTATGATATTCTCAATCTTTTTTTCTTCCGAAAGTTCAAGCAAAAACACACACACTCGCTATATATATTATGCCTCAATCGAAACACACGAACACTCAACCTCCTCGGCCACTTGGGAAGCTGGAGAGCTTATACCATCTGGCCTAGTGCCAATCGGTCAGATTCTCATCTTGTGTTCTCCGTGTGTGTGTGTATGTGGATATATATATATATATACATCTTTTCTGATAAACTGGTTTTAGTAATAATGTGGACTCATCAACAGGATCATAATAACTATAACTAAAAAGAAAAGAAACCATTTATTATCAACATACTCTGAAGCTGTTACTATTATTAAGCAATGGACAAAAGAAATTAATTACTCACATTAATGGTAAGAATTTCTACTAGTCATGAACTGTACTATTTTTTTCCTTTTTTTCTTAAATTAGGACTCAAATGTGTCATGTAGTTTAAAAGACACAAAGCTTAGAGTAACCATTAGTACTCTTAACACTTTAATATATATGGACAACGGTAAGAACCTTATGCTATATAAAAAATCAATAAATTAACCATAATGCAGCACAACAAACATGAAGTAATCAAACAATAAAAAAAAAAAAAAAATGATATATATATATATTTCGGTAATTTACATCAAAGATGAATGTTCTTTTCATCTGAGAATTAGAGATATATTTTGGAAGTTTTCCTTTTACTTTTTTATTTTTTCACTATTCTTTTAAGAAAGTGGCTTACATGCAACATTACAAGTTCCAATATTCTCATTGCATAATGGAGATGCCAATGTAAGAAAAACTTATATATATATATATATATATAGTCAACATCCACTGCTGCAATTTTAATCACAACAAACGCGATAATCAGTTCAAAAGGAGCCATGTAATGTTCCTTAATTTGTACCAGAAGCATCTGTACCAACATATATACTACAAGAATATTGAATTCTGTATAAATAATGCATGGCTAGCTCACATCCACTTGCATGCATTAAAATTCCATTTTGAGTTTGGAAAGTGTATACTTACAGATGGAACTTACAACAAAACAGCCATCCAATTACTATATATATATATATATATATATATATATATATATAAAGAGAGAGAGTCTCGCACAAATTGCATATATTTCACTGGCCATAAAAGAAAAGCAAAGCCAGCATATACCCTAATTTAAAATGTACCAAAGAGAAGAGCACATGGTGGAAATTAAATCATCAATGATGATCCATCTATATATATATATATGAAGATCAATATATATATGAGCTGAGCCATTTGATCATCATAAAGATCGAGTCCAGATGTGTGTGTATATATATATGAATGTATGAGTTGGTAGGACATGTGTGGTGGGGTCAGCAACACTTACCCACCGTGCCACCAAATAAAAACTCTAGCAGCAGCCACCTTATATGAGAAAGAGGAAGAATGATTCTGCTGGTACTCAGTGGTTGGACATGAGTTTTAGGCAATAACCATCTCCTGCTGACACCCGTCTGAAAGGCTGATCATACTCATTATATATATGTGGGCTCCACTTCCCCACCTTAGAATATATATCTTAGACCATTTTCTTTCTTTGATGTATGGAACCTTAATCACAGACACACACAGTACTACATCACATTCATACATATATAAGAGTCATCATGTCATGATATCAGAGAATCAAAGATATATATATATATATAATATTATATATTATCATTGTTTGATAACCCATATATACAATGCACCCCTCTTCTGTAAAGCAAACAAAACTGCATCACACTTTGGATTATGTACACAAATTAACACATATTATAATATATATGTGGTTTAACAAACTCATGATACGACAATATAGACATATATATGTCTATATTGTCGTATCATGAGTTTGTTAAACCATCCAACTCCAAGGACAGGTTAGTAAGGAGCCGTAACAATGCAAGCTTGCATGCAGATTAGTCTCTTTCTTGTACCCAAAGCATGTAATATATATATTATAGAAAGGCCTTAAAGAATTAACAAAACAATAACAATTAAGATAATAATATTGGTAGTACTCAATCCCAATGAGCTAGACTTAATTAGCAAATTAATACCAATCCATTGAAAATTGATATCATTGTTCATATACTTCTAGCTCTCAAATGAACCCTAAAAATGGTCCTCATTTAATCACACCAAAATGGAATACTGAACTCAAATTCAAAGCAATCAATACCGAGCTTGTGTTGCAAATATATATATAGATTTATATATATATATATAAAATAAAAGCATCAATCAAGCCATACACTTAATTGTAATTTGATGATTTAGGAGTGGTGACTAGTTGTGTCATGCCTATCATCTCCTCCAAGATGCAGATTAGAGCCACTTGCCTGAGACTCCGAAGCACCGCCACCCGGAAGCGGCCTAAACGCATTGAAAGCCGCCAGCATGCCTAATTGGCTGTCAGCCACCACCCCTCCACCGCTGCCGCCACCGCCAATGCCTGAACCCAACTGCTGCCCTTGAAAGAGAGTCATTGAAGTAGGAAAATTCATAAAATGCAACCCAGTAGCGGACACAGATGAGCCTCTATACAAATTAGAACTGTTGCCAAGGGAAGGTAATGTCCATATGGGGTCATGACCACCACCACCACCACCCATCACTTGATTGGTACTAGGGCTTGTCACCATCCACAGCGGCGCCACCGCCGGAACCTGCCCATGACTTGCCGGAATCGAGCCCGAGCTTGCAGACTGCAACATATAGCTCCCCACATGATTCTGCAGCGACAGATCTTGCTCCGCCTGCCGCCTCTTTCGCCCTAAACTCGCTTCGGCTTCATCTGCTGCAGCTACAACACACGCGTCACGAAACTCTTGCTTAGCTTGCAACATGCTGTTCACATTACTGGTGTGAAAATTCAAACTCGAACTCTCTGATGAAAACCCACTTCCTGTAAACAGAATCCGACGCTGCGAATCGTCCAAACTCCGATCCCACTCGCTCCGCGGCCTCAGCTGAGCCGCGGTGAAGCTAGGGTTAAAGTACGAGGACCTCAAGTGTGAAGGTGCCGACATGCTAGACCCTGAGCTCCGGAGTGAGATATTGAGGGAGGTGAAATTGGCGGGAATGGTTCCGGTACCAGTGGCTGCGATCACGGCGGGCTCCGCCTGCTGGAGCAGCCACTCGATAGTTTCGCCATCGGACTTGTGACCCAATTCTCTGGTGAGTTGAAAAACCCTAGCAGCACAAGTGGCCGGCATGCGGATCCGGCGGCCTCTCCCGTCCACCTTGGTGTGTCTATCTTTTGTTGAGGTCCTCTTTGGTGGAGCCTTCTTGGAAGAAGGCTCCGCGGATGCAGGGTCCACCAAGTGATGACTGGATTCGCCGCCGCCGCCGGAGATGGCTAGAGATGGGTAGCCGGAGCTTGAAGAACATGGTTCTTCTTCTTCTTTTTTCTCTAGCAACTGTAATGGGAAATTTGGCCTGCACATACCATTTTCTCCTTCCATGATCATATATGATTATATTTTATGCTAGTACATCTGTAGATGACCCTCAATTTGATCCCTTGTGGGTCTCTCTCTCTCTATCTAATTCCTTTCAGATGGGAGCTGGCAGCTGGGTGAATTGTTTTTCTCTCTCTAAAATATTCTCTCTCTAGATATGAGAGAGAGAGAGGATAAGGGAAGAGGGGGAGCAAGCTTTAAGCCTTTAAGCAACAAACACAATGAGTGGGATAGATATTAAAAATAAATAAATAAAAATAAATAAAGGAACAGGAATGAGTGGAAGGACTATATGTATAGGTGGGCTATGAAAAGCAAGGTTCTTTATGAAAAAATTTTGCTTTTACGAGGATAATTTAGTAATTTTGATGTCACTATATTTTTTTTGTAAATTTGAAATTTTATTTTTATTTATTTTCTGATGGGTCTTTTTATTTGTGGTTGGACAGTCCCTTGATTCAGACTCCACGTGCGGTGCTCTTTATAATTCAATTCAATCCATAAAGACAGTGGTAGCCAAGGTGTGGGACCCAATCTTCCCAAGTCAAAAAACTGAAAGACTGGCAAAGTAAAGATGATCAAGTGGCTCCCATCTCATTCAAGCAATCATTGCCCTTTGCCTTTCTTCTTAAACCATGGTTGGCACTACAATTCCTAACAATACCCCCTTCAAACTTTACCAGTATTTTATTTCATTTCATTTATTTTTTATTATTATTGTTTTTAATTTTATTTTTGCAGGGTATGGCTATATCTGTTCCATTGAATCCAAAATCATAGGATTCATTTCCATGCATTAGGGGATTTCTATCTCACTCTAGTCTATGGTTTCTACCATAGGCTGTACATTTATATATATATATAATATTACTATGATATTCATTTACTATTTTAAAATATGACCTTTTTTATCATGTAAGAATATAAATCAATGATTAAACCAAAAAAAAAAGAAAAGAAAAAGAGAGAGAGAATATAAATCAATGGTACAACTTTTTGTAGTTGTAAAAAATGAAAATATTCATTTGTAATTAAGTTTGATAGCATTTCAAAATAGATATAATCAAATGATTATAACCAATAACAACTTTCTATATCTAGGAATTAAAAAATGGCTCAAGACATCAATGGAAGGTAACTCAGATAGTATGATATTTACTTGAATTTTGGAGACTATCGGATGAAACTAAACCTAATCTTTAAATTCCATCGGAGTAGCCATGTTAATGTCCAAATCAATTGCCTGAAAAAAGTTGGACCATTTTAACAATTTTTTTGTGAAATTAATTTAACAATTTTATCTTATAACCTAATATATGTTTCAATCTAAATTACATAATTTTTCTAAATAGATGTAATTTTAACGCATATTTTCTTGTACTCACTTTTACTTTCAGTGCCTCAAAGCTGCTTGGTTTGTAACTCTAAAAACAATTATCAGAAACTCAGAAAATAGAAAACGGTTTTAAAAGAATTATAAAAGACTTGTCATCTGAAAACAATCTTCAGAAAACTGAACCAAATAAAATTTTTTGTAGAGTTTTTTATTTTCAATTTTTCAAAAATAAAAAACTATTTTTATAAGCTATAATTACAAACCAAACAAATTCTTAAATTTTGCCTATTTCTCGCTTCAACTCTTACTCTCACTCTGTATGTATGACACAGGGTAACCCTACCCTGGTCCACCCATCTACAATCCCAAACTAAAACATCATTAAAAGTGGATGGTAGCCAACAATGTAACAGTGTATCCATTGATCATGGACATTATCTCAAAATTTAATGGCCCACGTTGGGTTTTTAACTTTTAACCATCTAACTCAGAGCACGATCAAAACTTTCATTCACTGTATATATATATATATATATATATATCTATGGAGGTTTAATTCTTCAAGTTGACCTTGTTGGGATTGCAAATCCCAATTATTACTGATTTACCCCATGGAGGGAATCCGGACCTTAAATTCTTGGGCAAATTCTTTTGTCCCCTCTTGCTTGGATGAATCCTTCTAGCTTTGTTTCGAGCACATTTCACAATTATTGCTGACCTAGCTAGCTCAATGCATGGAGGGGATATCCAAACCCTGATGATAAGTGCTATCTCAATGCTAGAGGGGATATCCTTCTAGCTCAATGCTAGCTCAATGCATGGAGGAGATATCCAAACATCATTAAGGGCCATTTTCTTCTCTTTGTTTGGTTAAATTAATTATTGTGAGTTGTAACTTTGTCTCCAAACACATTTCCCTCTCCCACCCCCATAGTATAAGAGTCTGAGATGATAAGTGAAGGTGACAATTGTATATCCATGTCCTACTTGTGTGGTCTCATGATATGGGTATCTTGTCACATGGGTTAATACCTATTCGTGTTAAGTAACTTTAATCAATACAAATCAGACATGGCGTGCATAACTTGCTTGATAAATAGATTAAGACTTGACACAACATGACATGATAAGACGATATTTTTATTAAAATTTCATATTATTAGAATAATGTTAGTACGAATATGATACGTTTATTTGACTCGTTTAATTAAACGAGTCATTTCTAATACAAATATGACACACTTAATTATCTAACATTAAACGGAACTAATTGGGTTATAAACGAGTACGCAGTTTTGACTTATATAGTTTAACAAATCATTTCTAACACGAACATAACACACTTAATTGTTCAATATTAACCGGACTTAATTGGGTTATAAACGATTTCGTAATTCTAACACGAACACGACTTGTTTATTTAACGTGTGATTTAGATCAATACGATTGCGACTCAAACACAACTAAATCAAACCAAATTCACTTATCTCATATTATGTTTGAGTCATTTCTAAAGATTTTATTTCATATTGCATGTGACTTCGAAGATTAACTTTTCTCTCTTTTCTTTCTTCATGAGATAACTATAATGTTATCTTCTCATTTCTTCTCTCTCCTAGTACTAATCCAACACGCACGAAAAAGAAAAAAGAAAAAACTCAGCTCCAAATATATGAGAAAATGCAAGAACGTACACTTTTAACAACCATCTTTCCTAAGTCCCAACTGATGTTGGAAAAAGTTTAGTCACTGTAAATCATATGTAATGTAGGGCATATACACATACACACACACACACACACACATTTAGTGGTTGGACTTGATTATGACCATCCCTAAAAGACACACTTTCAACTTTTAATTAAGTTTGATTTGTACTAAACTTTGATTTAGATTACACTTAGTCATGTCTTTCCGTACCACAATCACCAGCTAGCTAGCCATGGAATTAAAGGAGATAGAAGAGCCAAACCCCCAACTTGTCACATTTCCTTCATTTTTCTCTCTCCTCAAACCAAACAATGATATATATATGAAGATTGCATTATAGTATTAGCCAACAAATTAAGTGTCACCATAGCAGACGACATAATCACGTTCGATTAGAACCCTAATGGTACTCATCACCATTATTGTGCACGGAAATAATCTGCAACTATATAAGCATTGACTCCTTTCATGGTGGTGGTCCAACTATGTATATAAATAACATTGGACGGGTATATATATGTTTGAATTTAAATAGGGAATAACCCTTAGGGCATGTTTGGTAGTATTTTTTTCTAAAACTATATATATATATAGTATATATATGTCACATCTACCATGTTGTGAGGAGTTGCACAATTACAATTCATACGAGTAATTAATCCAAACTCAATAAAAAATACACTCTCAGTCTAAACCTGGTCAAATTTGACCTGCAATATAAGGAGTGGAACTCAAACTTACTTTAAAGTAAAATTTTCAAATTTGGGTTAAACTTTGATTAGGTTTGAATTGGGCAAGTTAGAATCAATTTGATTTTTTTTTTTTTTTTTTTTCCCAATATAAGAATTTTTATTTAAATAAAAAAAATAACTCAACATGAAAATATGACTGCAAATTAAACGAGTAGTTGAGCTTTGGACAGTCCGAACTCAAGTCAAGCTCGTACAACCGTTTCGAACTCGACTCAAACGTCACACGTGGAGCTCAAATTAGGCTTGTTTGCTCATTTAGAAAATTTCAATCCCCTAATTTTAATCTGAAACGTGAGATCAAGCTCCTTTAAGATATTTTGGTTTAGGTTTTTAAAATTTCTTATCTGCTTAGAATTAGTTCTTATTTCGTTGATTTTCCTCTAAATTTCATACATGGATTGCCACAAACCACTATCCAAATTTGTCCAAACACCAATTTCAATTGGGATGGATGAAGTTGATGGATTTGATTAGTTTTGAATTGGGCAAGTTAGACTCAAGTTGATTTTTGTTTTTCCAATATAAGAAATTTTATCTAAATAAAGAAATAACTCAACATAAAAATATAACTGCAAACGAGTAGCCAAGTTTTGGACAATTCGAACTCAAGTCAAGTCCATATATACAACTGTTACGAACTCAATTCAAATGTCAGCTCTTGGAGCTCAAACTAGGCTTGTTTGCTCATTTAGGCAAAATTTCAATCCCCTAATCCTAATCTAAAACGTGAAATCAAACTCATTTAAAATATTTCTGTGTAAGTTTTTAAATCTTTGCATCTACCTATAATTAGTTCTTTTTTCGACGATTTTCCTCTAAATTGTAAGGTATACTTACATGGATTGTCACAAACCTCAATCCAAATTTGTCCAAACACCAATTTGAATTGCGAGGGATGAAGTGGATGGATTTTTACCCAAGATAGAAACCATGATGATACAAGAAAAGAAAACCTTTTGCACAAGCATAAATAATTGTCCAATTCCTTGTGGGACCCAACTACGAATAGTAGTGTCTAAGTGTCAACATAACCACCGTAGTATTCACTTCCCAAAAGTAATGGGCCATTGGGCCACGGATTAGGTCACGATCCTTGTTGGAAAATCACGTGCCATGCCACCTATGCCGGTGATGAGGACAGCTTACCATCCGATTTAGCTAATCATGCTAACAAATTTGTCGGAATGTTGGTGGGTATTCAGCTACAAATTAAATTATTTTTCCTCCCATTTTCAGTCAGTCACTTTGTTTCAAAGTTAAAAATTAAAAAAATAAATCATTTTACATTCACATATCAATTTCTGGCATGCTACCAAGATTGACTATTATCATACAATTTGTGGTATCGTAGACCATACATTGTGCTACCTGTATATATGCTTGATTAAGACCTTACGAAAATTTCTAGTATCCTCATCATGATAGAGGTATTCCACTG